GGGGGGAGGGGGACATCTGTATAAAAAGGTAGCAATAGGTTAATAGTCATTCCACCTCAGCAGCAGAGAATACACAAAACAATTAGCTAAAGACTTGGGTCTAATGGAAAAAATTCTTCTTCAGTCTGGACACAATATAATTTAAGATGCTAAGAAGGAATGTGCTCTCTATCCTCCACCAGAGAGGTCTGCTTTAAAAGGACATATTTGGAGCCTTTAATATCAGATTTGACACTAATTTTAAAGGTACTTCCAAAACAGAATATTCTCATGTTTTTAACTGTCCTTCCTATCTCAGGAGCACCACAGCTAAATATGAATTCACTAAGGTACAAATGATAACAAAATCTCAAAACCATATGCAATGAACAGTATAAAAAATTTAATATTAAGATGTGCTCAAATTATACTTATATAATTTTATCATGACTAAAGTTATCTAAACAAGGCTGTACTTTTCCTACAGTTATTTATCTAATAACATTACCAGTAATCTGACGTTCTTTGCTCTTTGTTTCTTTTGTTTCTTTCTTTTCCTCATCTCTTCTTTCTTTTAGTCGAGAAGGGGAAGGAGATGTGGATCTATGCCGTCTTGGGGATCTAATATTGAAGAAGTAAAGATGTCAGAAGCAGAGATATACCTGGTGACTTGTGTTGACTGGCAATGACATACATGAGCTCCTAAAAGGTAAAGGCTGAACAAAAGCCAGGCTCCAGAGAATGAGGAGTCCATTCCCCATAGCAGAATAAGGAAGAAGGTTCTGCCTAGGCCCTGTGATTGTTAACCAAAACCCAAAAATATAGTTTACGGCTGTAATCATCAGCTAGGGCTAAAAAAAAATTTTTTTAAGGCAGAAAATGTAACTAAGTTTCTAATAATTACAAACACACAAAAAGTTGACTAAAACAGCAACTGACACTTATTAAGAATCAAGAGTCAATTTCGAAGGTTCTTTCAAGATCTCACATTCTTGGCTATATACTTGAATAAACTCTTAATACCCAAAAGTCAGTAAAAACAAAACAGGGGCCCCTGGCTGGCCCAGTCAGTGGAGCATGTGACTCTTGATCTTGGGGTTATGAGTTCAAACCTCACATTGGGTGTAGAGATTACTTTAAAAAAAAAAATTAAAAAAGAAACCCCCCAATATACAACACACTTATTTCTTACTCCTGCCAAGCCCAATGCTAATGTTTTTCATGTACTATTTCTTATTTACTCCTCAAGGCAACTCTAGGTCAGGGTGTTATTAACCCAATTTTACCAATGGAAATGTTGGGTTTAAAATAAGGTGGGCTTCAAATGTCCATCGATGGATGAATGGATAAAGAAGATGTGAGAGAGAGAGAGAGAGAGAGAGAGAGAGAGAGAGAGAGAGAGATAAAATGGAGTATTACTTTGCAATCAAAAAGAATGAAAGCTTGACATTTGCAACTAGCAGATGGAACTGGAGGGTATTATGCTAAGTGAAATTAGTCAGAGAAAGACAAATATCATATGAATTCATTCATATGAGGACTTTAAGATACAGAACAGCTGAACATAAGGGAAGGGAAGCAAAAATAATATAAAAACAAGGAGTTGGACAAAAACATAAGAGACACTTAAATATGGAGAATAAACAGAGGGTTACTGGAGGGGTTGTGGGAGGGGGATGGGCTAAATGGGTAAGGGACATTAGGGAATCTACTCCTGAAATCATAGCTGCATATATGCTAACTTGGATGTAAATTAAACAATAAATAAATTATTTAAAAAAAAATAAAATAAGGGACGCCTGGGTGGCTCAGTCGGTTAAGCCTTGGACTTCGGCTCAGGTCATGGTGGCTCATGGGTTCCAGCCCCACGTCCGCTCTGTGCTGACAGATCAGAGCCTGGAGCCTGCTTCCGATTCTGTCTCCCTCTCTCTCTGCCCCTCCCCGGTTCACTCTCTGTCTCTCGATAATAAATAAACGTTAAAAAAATTAAAAATAAAATAAGGTGGGCTTAAGTTCCCCTCATTTCATGAAACTGTAAATGCCTTATTAGTGATAAAAAAACAAAATTAACGGCAGCGACTAGTTTCTTTGGGACTTGTGGTAAAACTTCTGGTTATTTTCTGCATTCACCTGGAGCGTCTCCTGTGCGGAGATCGAGAGCGGCTCCTTCGACGATCTCTCTCCCGGGACCTGGACCTTTCTCGGCGCCTGCGTTCTCTCTCACGAGACGTGGACCGGGACCGCCTGCGCTCTTAATACAAACACACAAAATCTTTGTGCAGAGTCAAAATATTACCTCAAATATCTAGAGCTGTGCCACCAATATTAATATAATGCCAGCCATTTCTAATAGTCAAATTAAAAAAAACACAGGTAGGGGCGCCTGGGTGGCGCAGTCGGTTAAGCGTCCGACTTCAGCCAGGTCACGATCTCGCGGTCCGTGAGTTCGAGCCCCGCGTCGGGCTCTGGGCTGATGGCTCAGAGCCTGGAGCCTGTTTCCGATTCTGTGTCTCCCTCTCTCTCTGCCCCTCCCCCGTTCATGCTCTGTCTCTCTCTGTCCCAAAAAAATAAATAAACGTTAAAAAAAA